AAGGCAAGGAAAAAGTTCAAGAATAATCAGATTTCGATAGTAAGGCATAATAATGAGGCATACCAGGTGAATGCATTTATTATGTACTTATATGATATGATGACGACTTGCGATGAGTCAACATCGAATGTTTTTATAAAATCATGTTTTACCGTATTTTGAAAATATTTTCATAAAGTTTATGAAAATGGTTTATAGTGATTTTAGGGTATGAGGTGCCCTAAAATAGATGGATGAAAGTTTATATTATTTTAACAGCTATCGATGTTTCAGAATAAATGTTTAATATGCGAATTTGATTTAAAGGCCTAATGTATGTGCAATGAGAGTCTTAGGTGCATTTTGACATACTTTGGAGTATGATGGTTATCAATCGATTTGTTTAATGCATATGTTGCATTTTCGTATCAGTACCTTTGTGTACTTTCGACACTAGGTGTGCATGCATGGTATTCATAATGAGTTTGTGAATTACCATTTCGATATATTAGTATAGTGTCGTTGTTACTACATAACATATACTTTCATTTGGCACTTATGTGCAACTCATGTACCTTGCATTCTCATCTATCATACATTGGCCTGAAAATGGATATTTTGGATTATATTGTATGTTAAGTATGTTGGGCATACGAGATAACGTTTCGTAGGTCAATTGAAGGAAACTTGGCTTACCAAGTCAGTTTTATGTGTTATTATATTTTATACGATTAAATTCGTATTTTGATCTTTTATGAAATACTTATGTTTTTTACGCCTTATTTATTTGTTTTATTATGTCTCACTAAGTGAATACTTAGCGTGTGATGATTTTCACGCGTAGGTTTAATGTATGAATCGGAGTGAGGTTGTAGCTGATATCATCTGTCAAGGATTGTCTCATCAGTAACAGTATGATATCTCTAGATGTTTATTTTGATATTACTAGTCGGCATGTACTTAGATATTATATGATGCTCTGATAGGATATATGATATTTGGTTTGTAGTACTATATCATATTCGAACTTAAGCTACTATGTGATGGGTTTCAAAATGCTATTTATATATTAGTAGACAATGAACGAACATTTTAAATATTATAATATTAAATCGTTTTATAAAAAAATATTTTACTGGTTTTCAAGTACAATAATGTTTTAAAAATCATGTGACATCTATAACCCGTGTACGAGAACGTATACGGAGAATGAGTGTTACATTTATCAATTTCAGTGAATTATTGTGTGAGTTTACAAAATTAAAATATCAACATAAAATATTATTATATTTTAGATTTGGTCTCTTGATACAAGTCTTGAAAGGTTCAAAAAGTGGGAGCAAATTATCCACCCAAGACACTCCAAGACATTTGACTATGTGAACCCTAAAGATTTTGAGCACAATTTATTTAGAAGATAAAACTCGAACTGTAAATAATATCTAATGAACCAAATTTTGTGAATGAAATACTCTTTACTCGACCTTCAAGTATGGTTAAATATGAGATGTCATATTAGAGTTTTCTTAGATTAATTGAAATTTAATTACCAATCAATAACATAAAAACAAACAATTAATAATAAATTCAACCTACTACATTCACTTTATAACAATCTTGAAATAATTAAATCGATTAAATTTAAAAAAGACAAATTGATCAATTTTTAAACTTTTTAGGGATTAAATTATAAAGTTCAATCAAACTTTTAGAAGGATGCTCAAAACATTTATTGAATAATCAAGTGATTAAATACATGTTTAATCAAAACTATGAGTTTTAAAATAAATCAGAATCAAATCAAATGTTGATTAACTAAAATATGATTAAAAGATGAAACTATTAAAAAAAATCAAAATTTAAGGGAGAGATTTGGAACTCTTCCAAGAGTTTCAAAACCGACCTTCTATAAAGTTTAGAGGTATCAAAACTCTTGAAAATTTGCCACTCTTTTCTTAATTTTGATACTTTACAAATCATATATATATATCATTACCTAGAAAAGTAAAGAATATATATATTGTTTGTGATTGCATTGTGTCCCAACACGAATTGTTAACCACAACCTGAATCTGTGTACATAAATATTGCACACTGAGTTTGAACTCAATGGTACCAAAAATTCAACATAAAGCAATAAATGCAATCACATATAATAACATAGTCATATTTAACAATAATAATTACATTGTCTTTTAATTGACCTTTGTAATAGGGTTAACATCTCTATTATCATAATAGTCAGTACAATTTAGAAGGATAATAATATAATCTTGAAAGGTGAATAATATAGTGCACAGTTCTTAGGGCTAACTACTTATTATACCTAGTAAGATTCCATAACTTCTTAGATCATATTTATTGAATAATTTATTAATCCCATTATTAATTACGTATGACTCATACCTTCATTAATTGACCTTAGTATGAATTTACATTTATATAAATAAAAACATATCATAAGAGTTAATTACAAATATTAATTATCAATAATTTCTAGAGTAGGTGATCAAATATTTTCAGTTGATATATTTTCTTCTCTTGAATTGTAGATTCAATATCTATTGGGAGCAAAATCCATTTCCCTTCCCTCTAGGTAGGAATTGTTTAATAAAAAAATTAGAAACCTAATTACTCAATAATTTAGTAAGTACTCGTGAAATGGTACTCACTTTCAAACCAAGCTTACAAAATTTATCACAAAAAGAAGCGAGTGATTCCACTATTCACTCCATCTCTTGTTTTTCACATCAAAGATCCTTCTTGATCTCCGCTTTTAAAAATTTTAAATTAATCAAATGTAGCACAATGTTACTTAAATCATTATATATAAAAGCTTCTAAATGCTTGAATAGCATGAAATTCTCATATTTCTCCATGCACATTAAAATCTTAACTAATTGTTTTTCTATTTTCTTCCTTTAATCATCAAATTAACTTCTTTTAATAGAGTGACGAAATTGAAAGAATAAAAAACTTACTTTTATTAATTAAAATCATCAAAAGTTTAATTTCTTCAAGCTTGGATAATTCTCGCGTTGGAATAACGAGAGGAAAGTGATAAGAAAATGACAAAAACAATTACTTCTTACTTTTCCATCACTTTTTCTTTCATTAAAATAATTCTAATATCAGTATATAATACTAATTTCCAATTAATATTTACATAAGAACCATTTTTCAATTATAGTTCCAACATCAGTTTTAACTTTTAAACTTTATTCACTTTAGTCTCAAAACTCTTCTTTAACCATAAATTGGTTCAAATAACTCAATTATCTTGAATCATCATCACTAATCAATTTGGACTAAAATATTCATTTATTGTCATTTTACTCAATTGTAGTAAAATTATCATTTTATCTCTCAAACCTTTTAAACTTTACGATCTAGTCCTAAATCAAAGCAACATCTTTTGTTTCTTAAAATAGTTATTTTAACTCATTTTAGTCCTATTATTATTTCTTAATATAAAAATAAACTTGATAATCAATACTTAATAATGCTTAAATATCTTTTTAGATCAAAATTCGATACCAAAACTTTTAAAATATCAGTAACCCTTTACTGATTGTATTTTATAAACTTCTCCTGACATAGTCCTGTATCAACTTATCTTTAATATATTCTATGTAACCTTCTTATGTTTACAGTATATAATGTCTATAATCTATATTTATATTATACATATATCATAGAATTATATATAATAAATTATGTTTATAATGAACTCATCAAGTAGTCATAGTGATTAAAGATAATGTAATTTTTCCTAAAGATCATAGGTTTGAACGACTGCGTTTACGAGGGATGTATTTGTTGTCAAAAGGACTCAATGTATCATACAACATGTAAAAATAATTAGAACACAAAGCCAAAATTAAATTATGTGTTTGTCAATTGGACAAGTTGTTACGATTAAAAATGATGATGTTTAAAGATTAAATTGATAAGATTCGTGAATATGAAGAGTTGAATTTAATAAATAATTAAAATTAATTTAATAAATTCATCTAAACTCGTTTATGTAATCTCCTTGAAGTGATCATAATCATAATTATAATTAAAATCTATACATCCTATAATTATAAGTACAAAATAATAAAAATCAACATATCAAGTATAAACTTATAATCAAATTTTAGAATAAAACAAACTTATAGAACTATAAGGAGCGAAAGTAAATTAAGAGTAAAAATTATAAAAAAAAATTAAAATATACGAAAATTTAAAATTTTCAGAAATATTGTCTCACCTATCCTTTAGTACATCCCTGTCAATGAAAACTGAACCTATACATAATTATTTGTAATCATATTTGATTATATGTTTATGTATACATATCATGTATAAATTCATTTAATTTGATCTAATAAACTGATAGTGGAAGAAATCGATATACATATTTAAATATGTTCAATTTTTTTGTAACATTATAATAATAATTGAATTAAAAATCGATTGACAATAAAAATAAACAGATTTAACAATAATTTTTTTTAATAGAATTTAACAATAAATTGAATGAGAAATGTCAGCTGGAATGGAAATGGACCAAGGTCTGTGTCTACATTCCTCCCTTTTCCCGTGTGTTTTTGGCCAGTTAAATGGAAATGGAAATGGAAATGGACCAATGAGAAATATCTAGTTTTTCTTTCAATTTCACCACCACCACCAACGACGTGGATTTTGGTGCGAGAAATAACTGCGAAGTTAAATAGAAAAAGGAAGTTGTATAAATAAAGAATATGAGGAAATCTAGAGAGAAAGAAAGGGGAAGATTTTGTTGTAATTTTTAGTAGAAATTAAACAAATCTACGGTCAAAATGAGAAACAGCGTGAGAGCTGTTAGTTGTATGTGAAGTGTGCACGAAGCCGTGGACTAAAGCCGGCTTCTTTTTTCTTCCTTCTTCAACCTCTCTGTATTGCTTCAGATTTCTCCTTTTTTTCCCCTGTTCTTTTCGCTTTCTCTTAGATTCATTTTATCCTTTGATTTTGATTATTTGATCGGTTAAAACAAGAGGAGATTGCCCATTTTTGTTTTCAAATAAAAATTGTGAGAAAACAGGATCGGATATGGAACGTTGATTAATCTCTTTTCTTTTTCCTGTTTTTGATTGTAAATCTAATATATATCTCAAAAAGCTCAGGATACTTTTGGGTTTGGTTTGATTTTCGAGGGAATGGGTTGTTTTCCTTGTTTCGATTCAAAGGAAGAGGAGAAGTTAAATCCTGTCAAAGAAACTGTTGATAGAAAGCAAGGCCACCCAACTGTTTCCAATAATATTTCCAAATTATCTTCAGGTTAGCGTTGATTTCTTCTTTTGTTTTGGATTTTTTTTAAATAATTGCTTTATCACTTGATCTGATCTGGGTCTTTATGAATCATTATGTTCTTTCCTAACTTTGATGATGATAATTATTTTATTGTTAACTTTGATGATGATGCTTATTTTGTTATGTAATTTTCTGAGTGTACCATTATTCCTTGTTTGATTGACCTTAATAAAATTTTTAGAGTTCTGTAAAAGAACTAGGATCTAAGAATACTTTTGATTACATGGTGATATGTTTCATAGTTGATTACGTTGCAAAATTGTAATTAGTTCAAAATTCATTGATATATGTCTTTGTAATTTATAGCAATTCAATAACTTAAAACTCAAATTAGCATACTGATTACCGAGTATGATCAGCAAAGTCCATAATCTGGAAATCATAGGTTGATGTAGCTTATTATTGCATTGGCAATTATTTTTTTTGTCCTTTCTTGAATCACTGAGCTTTGAGAATTTAGATTGTATTATCTTTCCTTTTTTATTTTTATTTACTTTTTGGCATTAAAATGGTTATCAGATCTCTCATGGTAACTATGTTTATGGAGTTGGCAGGAGGGGACAGGCTTAGAGCAAGAAGTAACGGAGGGTCCAAAAGGGAAATACCAAGTCCCAAAGATGGGCCTGGTGGTCAAATTGCTGCTCAGATTTTTACCTTTCGCGAGCTTGCTGCCGCAACAAAGAATTTCAGGCCGGAGTCTTTTTTAGGAGAAGGTGGATTTGGACATGTTTACAAGGGGCGGCTTGAGAGTACTGGTCAGGTAATCTTGTTATAGTTGTTTTGCTTTCACGAAATACTGAAAGCATATTTATATAATGTAACTGCAATAATTAAGCTCCGAGTCATACTATGATTGATTACTTTTAGGCCTTTGCTTGATTTGCTCATATATTGTTTTTTGTCATATATTCCAAAAGGAATTATTAAAATTCGACCATTCAGGCTATATAGATATTTAATTGCTGAAGACCGGGTGTTCAGGTAGAAATACTCTTTTTGTCTAAGATTCTTTACATAGCAAGTGAAGCATTTACACCATTAATGTATTTCGTAAAATTGCTGGTTAGTACCAGTAATTTCAGTAGGATTTCAAGCCCTCTAATTTACTTGATATGTATTCTTTGCTCCATGTAAAATGTCTATATACAGTTGAATCTTAGAGTACATCTATTGAAAATTTCAATTATTGAACTTGGATGCAGCTCCTTTATTTGATTAGTCTCAACTGAATCTTTTGTCCATATAAGATGATCTTATTAACATTGAGTATACTTCTATCTTTTGCTGTGATTGTTGCTACTTTACTTACTTGATCCTCTTCTAAAAGAGAGCAGCATTCATCCTCATGGTGTTCATCTTGCTGATAAAGTGTGGTTTTCCTATCTACATCCCCCGCTCGATGTTGTCATGATGTTGCTGAGGTCAAGGATGAGTCTTGAAAGTTATATTGTTGCATGAGACATCAATTATAATTGTTAATCTTTCTAAGAGAATAAACAATGTGGAATATGTCTAATGATGCAATTTGGAAAATGAAGTTTATGCCCCTTTAAATCATTTTAATCCTTTGCAACAAGATGGTTATAGATTTCTATAAGATATGTATCTTTTGCCTTTGCAGGTTGTTGCAGTCAAACAGTTGGACAGAAACGGTCTCCAGGGTAACAGGGAATTTCTGGTTGAGGTTCTCATGCTCAGCCTTCTTCATCATCCTAATCTTGTCAACTTGATTGGTTATTGTGCTGATGGAGATCAACGGCTCCTTGTTTATGAATTCATGCCCTTAGGATCCTTGGAAGATCACCTTCTTGGTAAGAATTGGTGCACATTAGTGCCCTAATGATATAGTTCCTTCTCATTTTACTTCATTATATCTGGATCAACTAGTCCTACTGCATCCTTTAGATCTTTACGAAGTTAGCAATTTTAGCACTTTGAGCTCAATGAAGGATGTCGGTGTTAGCTTAAGGATCTAATTAATATTTTTTATATACTGATATTTTTAGAGCTCCTTGTAATTTTAAAATAATTAGTGTTAATCTAGGAAGCTTGGATACGGACTCACAAGACAGGTGCAATATGATATATACACAATGACATTAGGACATTGGATACTTTTCAATCAAATATCAACATGCAATTAGTTTTTCAATTTCTTAAAACCAATTTGAGTTTCAAAATTTGAACCTTAAGAAATTCTTTAGGATCAAATAGCTCAAGCTGAAAGTTTTAGAAGAGACCTTAAACAATCTGCTATGAATTATTCAATAGTAAATGTCTTCTCATAGTTATCTCATTTTGAACCATCTTTGCTTTCTTTCTTTCTTTATCGTTCTCAATCCTGTAACATATTTACGTTGATACTTCGCGGTTTCTCCAGTATTTAACTATCCATTATTGTTTCACTTTCTGTTTTCTTTGTTTTCTTTATTGATTTTAAGCATTTGAGTTCCTTAGGATTTAACATTTTTTTCATTGTTGACTCCATATTCAAGGGAAAAAATGCAAATCACATGTCCTGTCATGTTGGGGCTTGTTCTGGCGTTTTGATCATTTTACCTTTTTGTTCTCTTCATGTTCTTTGCTGTGCAGTTCATAGTTTGTCACGTTTGAGCATGTCTATGTCAGACGTGTCTAACACTCGTAAAAACCTTTATTAACAGGACATGATGCCAAGTTGTAAAATGGATCAAATAGCTCAAGTTGAAAGTTTTAGAAGAGACCTTAAACTATCTGCTATGAATTATTCAATAGTAAATGTCTTCTCATAGTTATCTCATTTTGAACCATCTTTGCTTTCTTTCTTTCTCTATCGTTCTCAATCCTGTAACATATTTACGTTGATACTTCGCGGTTTCTCCAGTATTTAACTATCCATTATTGTTTCACTTTCTGTTTTCTTTGTTTTCTTTATTGATTTTAAGCATTTGAGTTCCTTAGGATTTAACATTTTGTTCATTGTTGACTCCATATTCAAGGGAAAAAGTGCAAATCGCATGTCCTGTCATGTTTGGGCTTGTTCAGGCGGTTTGATCATTTTACCTTTTTGTTCTCTTCATGTTCTTTGCTGTGCAGTTCAGAGTTTGTCACCTTAGAGCATGTCTGTGTCAGACGTGTCTAACACTCGTAAAAACCTTTATTTAACAGGACATGATGCCAAGTTGTAAAATGGATTTCCTGCAACCTTATTTATTTAGTAATTAATAGGCTTCAGAAAATAGAGGAATATTGATTTGCTACTATTTTCTCCCTAAACCACACCAAATATGCTTAAACCCGTGATGTCATATCATATATATTGTCCTAACGTCCTTACATGTATTATTAATTCAATATTTTAGGCCTGCTTTGCGCTATCTGCTCCTTCATTTTGTGCATCTATTATTGACAAGATAAAGTTAAATTAAATATTTTCTTATTGTCTGATAACTAGATATTCTTGTAATTCTTCTAGATAAACTGAGTTTGGCATTGTAATTGACGTGCAAAATCATGGTTTGCACTGCTCAAGTTCAACATTTCTTTAAGTCTTGACTAAACTAGTGGGTTTTCACTTTGGTTTTCCAAACCCTAATTTCATAGCCACAGCTTTTGAAATCCTACCAACTATAATTTTGAACTAAGCCTAATTGTGAACTTGGAGCTTGGTTGAGTTCAAGGGGACCAAGGGGGGTGCGGTTGCACTCTCTGGAAATTTCAAATTCTCATATTCGTTGTTTATGGTCTCCTTTCTAACAAAAAATTTAAGCCTAATTAATGTCAGAACTAATAATGAGCTACGAATCATATTTGTTCTCATAATGGATCTGTTTTGTGGTTCATTAGCAAGCTGTCTTATGTTTTAGTAGTCTGGAGGATTCAGAATGTCCGATTTTAGCCCTTTACTACCAATAACATACAGATGATAGTCACGTCTCATTGTTGGATAAATTCCGGTTTTAAGTTGATACAAATGGATATGCACGGGTTTTACCGTGTCATGCCCTTGGACATGTCTTGCTTGTTCTCTACCTGTGCTAGTTAAATACATCTGTTATATAGCAGGAAGGGGAATTCTCGATTATAGTCTAATCTGTCATCTATTTCTCTACAGATCTGCCACTTGAGAAGGAACCACTAGATTGGAACACAAGAATGAAGATAGCAGCTGGTGCAGCTAAAGGTTTGGAATACCTCCATGATAAAGCAAACCCTCCTGTTATTTACAGGGACTTCAAGTCCTCCAACATATTACTGGATGAAGGTTTCCAGCCGAAGTTATCAGATTTCGGGCTTGCGAAACTTGGTCCAACAGGAGATAAATCACATGTTTCCACCAGAGTTATGGGCACATATGGCTATTGTGCTCCGGAGTATGCCATGACTGGTCAATTGACAGTGAAATCTGATGTTTATAGTTTCGGGGTTGTTTTCTTAGAGCTAATTACTGGACGGAGAGCTATTGACAGCACACGACCCCATGGAGAACAGAACCTCGTCACATGGGTAATGCATTTGAAGTGCTTTTGTAGTCTGGGTAATGGCTGAGACTATAGTAATTTATCTTCTTTTTAATGTATATACAGGCACGTCCGTTGTTCAATGACCGCCGCAAGTTTTCAAAATTGGCAGATCCAAGATTGCAAGGACGGTATCCAATGCGAGGTCTTTACCAAGCTCTAGCTGTGGCCTCTATGTGCATTCAAGAGGAGGCTGCCACCCGTCCTCTAATTGGAGATGTGGTCACTGCTCTCTCATATTTGGCGAATCAGGCATATGATCCTAACTCAGCGGGGCATGGCTACCGAGGTTCTGGAGATAAGGATGATAAAAGATACAAAGATGACAGAGGAGGAAGGGTATCAAAGAACGATGAAGGAGCATCATCTGGCCGTAGGTGTGATTTGGAAGGGTCCGAGAAGGAGGACTCCCCTAGAGAAACAGCCAGAATGTTGAATAGGGATTTAGATCGAGAACGAGCTGTGGCCGAAGCCAAGATGTGGGGGGAGAATTGGCGAGAAAAAAGGCGACAGAATGCACAGGGTAGTTCCGACGGGTCTAATGGCTAGTTTGCCACAGTTTATGCAAATTTCTGACTTGGTAAGGTGAAGAAAGATTTTCTTTCCAGTGCATGGCCCATCCAAAAAGCTTGACAATGCTTTACTTTATATCCTTTCATTTCATTGAAGCATAGAACAAGATGATGATGTGGTGGTGATGGAGTCTAAACATGACGCTTTTCCATAAAAGTTTTGAGAGTTTTAATGTTATCCTCCTTGCTCTGGTCTTGTACGGAACTTTTATGTGGTATTTGTATCTTCTAGTCATCTTTGGTACACCAAACACATTTTTACCAACTAATTGATCTCATTTTCATCCACTCTATTCACGGTATAGTAAATGTGGGATTCACTCATATTTGAGGTTAAAAGTTAATGGGAATATACTACAACATGAATATCGAAAAATGAACAAAAAATTGATTGGATAAATACTAAGCGTACACTAGAAATTTATTCAATCTCAACTTTGTGGAATTTTTTTGTTGTTCAAATGTATATATGAAATTTTGATTTAATTTTATACAATAAAAAGTAAATGTATCGATTTAATTTTATATTAGATAACATGATTATTGTGCGTGTGTTATAAATATGGAATTACGTTATCAAAGTTTATATGTCAAATTATACATTAAACTAAAATTTATATGTAGTTTCGAGATTTATATTCCTCGTTTAGAAAGATTTTGACGGACGTCAAGTTCTTAAAATGTTTATGGGTTTAAGGTTTTTTTTTTATATTTAAGATTTAAAACATATATAAATTTATAGTTTGGGATGATTACAATGTAATATTTGATTATAATCTCTCTTGGTCATTGATAATGTCAACATCATGTAAATATAGATGTTCCATCTCGAGACCTCTAGAGAAATAATACTTTCTTTAACCGCTAAGATCACTTGGTAAATATTACTTCTTTATTGATTGATAAAACATACTATTTTCTTGTTCAAGTCCGATCAAATCTGCAATATAAGTTTCAGATTTTCTTTTATACTTATAAATAACTAATCCAACCCCATTTTAGGCTCATCATAGCACTGTTTTGATTTTTTTTTAAATTACTATATTTTCTCTTTTATGAAAATTATAAATATAGATAATTTGCAGTATTTATACATAAATACATTTGTTCTTTAATCTTTTATGGTACAAATGACATCAAATCGAGTATTCAATCCACTTCAAAGATTTTCAATTTTACAAACATGGTATTCGGGGACAATAGAATTTTATGTTTAAGAAAGTAAATTTATAAAATTTTAAGGAGAAGATAAATCTATCAAATTTTAGAAGACAAAAATAAATTTTTAATATAAAATATAAGAAAAATATCTAAAATATATAATAATTTAAAATTTTAAAGACACTACTTCAACTCGTCTCATCTCGATCTATCCATAATGGTATTCGATTAGTTTCACCATATGAGATGCCCTTTTGGAACACGTAAAATAGAGAGATGGTGAGAAGTTTCCATATCTTACGCTTCCTAATGAAACAATATGGGTCCTTTCTCCTATCTTTCACTAACCCATATATGCATTCATTTGTGTTATTGGCGTATTGCATCCAGCTGTGTACAAGGATGAACAGATGCAACTCAAAAAATTTTAAATTATCATATATTTTAAATATATTTTAAATATTTTGTAATTGATAATCTATTCTTAGAATTTTATAATTTCACATGTATCTTACAATTTTCTAATATAAAACTATGGGTCCGTGTTTGCTGTGTCCTGTTGCGAATTAATGAATGAACAGATCCGAAGCACACAGCCTGGTAGATTTGCCTTGTCGAAGCTGGAAAGCAATTTCCTTGCTTGTAGCTCGAATTCAATCATCTTTCCTCATCAACACGATACACTACAAATGAAAATAATGCTGCCCTTAGTGAAGAAGATGAAGTCATGGTTGGTTGTATTTCAAAATAATAGCCAAGTACAAAGATTATTTCGACATGGTGGAGACTGAAAATTACAGCATAACTAATACATCTCTGTCTATATATTTATATATATGTGTAGTCGTCTTCTTTAAGTAGCCTCGGGTGTGTGTTTTGATTCAAACTGGACATTCATTTGAGTCAGCCTCCGGTTTATTACCGGCGGCTTCCTTCTCTGCGGTGGCGTTTCCATTGTGAATATCTGAAGCTACGGGATGAACTTCGGAGGCGTTTAATGCGCCGAGCACGACCACGCTTTTCATTTGTTCTTGAACCGGAAGCTTCTTCTCCTCCATGATTGCCTTCTCGCTGTGTCTGTAGATTGCGTATAGAATCATCTGGAGCATTCCCAGTATGAATCCTAGTACGTTAGGGAGCTGTGGATTTCACAAAAAAAAAAATCATCAGTGACTTCAATCAAGCGAAGGGGGTGTCGGTGTCGGTGTCGGTATCTCACGTCGGAAAGGAAAAGAGAAATCAACTTACAGCTACACAAAGGTCTTTAATGAATAATCCGTAAGCAAACCACATGACTGCACTCAATGTGAGGAAAAATGATAAGGTGAAAGGCATGAACTCGACGCTCTTTGTTCGAACAACTCTCGCCATGATATTCAAGGGTGCTGCAAACACCGATACGGAGATGGCGACACAAATCCAGCCGAGAACCGGGACTCGAATCGAGTTTTTAAGCATAAAATGAGTGAGGATGAGAATGAAAGAGAAGAGCATCACATTCATTGCTACAAAAAGTTTCATAGCTGATCTTCTGCTATCCTTTGAAGCATAAGCTATGTACATAGATATGTAAATGGTCTCGACAACACATCCGAATGAGTTGATGGTGATGAGGAGGAAAGCTCCCTTTTTTATCAACGCGTAGTACAGCCATAGCATGCAGCTGAACAATGCCACCTGGTATGGCAGCGACTGGAAACTTTCTGTTGATTTCTTCTTGAAAATCCGGTAGAATGTTGGCCTGCAATTATCAACAATGATTATGGTTCGAACAATTATATCAATTTCGAGAAATATAGAAGATCGTGATCGAATGCTTACACGGGAGCCATAAATACGAGGACCGAGATAATGTTACCTGTCATCAATTCAAACAAAAACGAAAACTTCTTGTAAGAAAAGATGGGACTTTGCATGTTTCATGTAAAGTTTTTGTCAAAATAAATGAATCGTTTTCATATGATTGAGGAGGTAGATCATCGTTTAGGTGATGACATTTATTGTATGTATTTTCCCTTTTTGTTAAACAACTACGTATAACTAAACATTGAATTAATGCATTCATTAGCTGAAAATTGGAGCCATTTCTAAAACGGACACTTGTTTTAAACCAAAAATAGTGAAACAAAAGATAACATGTTGTGCATTAATTTCTCTTTGTAACTTAACCAAGTCGTGACTAAAAATTAACTTCCTAGAGAGAGTGAAGAAAACAAGGTGACGGGTTTCGTGGCGGACGTAGATGTAGCGTCGTGACTGATTTCATTACGACGTCGCTCAAAATAAAAGAAAACCCTAAAATCGTTATGTGTGAATGACGTATATAAATATGTATTTTAAGTCGAATACGAGCGTCAGACATGAACTACATGATTCATGTAAGCAAAGAAAGAGCATAGTAGTGTTACCTAAGATACCAAAAACGACTGCCAAGGTATGTTGGTCACCCATTGCGGCCATATCTATCTTCTTCAACAAAGAAAAGGGTAATTTATGTTTTTGGAAAGAAAATTGCAGAGAGGGAAGGGGAAAGAACCCTAGCTCTCTCTTTCTCTCTCTTATGGAATGCTCAAAGCTCTAAAATGTCATGAGCTCAAAGGAGAGCATAGAGAGGGGGTTTTATACGAGAGAAAAGGTAGGGGAGTGGGTGATAAATGGAATTGTGTGTGCGCATTTAACTCCTTTTGTTGCATTACAAGTGCAGACGTTATTAGTAGGTAGGCTCGCATGAAATCAATATCATTTTTTTACTCTTTCTTTTTTACTTTTTACCAAATTATTCCACGTGCCTCTTTTTAGTCGCGTGTACAACTTTCCGACCTAATTGGCATCCACATTATATTAATGAGGGTAAAATACAAAATTTTAATCATTTAACTTTTTCTCACTCCTACTTTGATCACTAAAATTTAAAAAATTTTCATTTACTCATTAAACCTTTGGTTTGCTCCTATTTTGATTATTTGAGTGTTAAATCAGAAATGAAAGTATGATATGAAAGTCACGTGTGCCGATATAGATTACTTTTATTGACATGGAATCCATGTATCATATCATCTATGCCATTTTCTCTTTTTTAATTTTATCTTCTTCCTCCAAAGATCAAAGTTTTACAATTTCATCTTTATTTCACAATGATGTTGTAATTACCATTCTCAAAAATCTTCTCCGATCACTCAATATATCAACGAACTCACATTATTATCTCATATCACTCTTTAGGTTTAGATTTTACTTAAATTACTTTAAAATTAATAAAACTCAACCCTAAACCTTAATCTCATAAATTCCCAAATCATTATGATCTATAATCCACCATTTAATCAACATAGAATCAATATATACAACTCGTTTCATCCTTCATCTCCTCGCTATTGGGATTTGGAAAATTTTAAGATAATTTCATAAATTTTAAAAGAAAATTTTTCATTCATTACGTTTTGAGTATTTAACGATGGAGTGATCAAAATATGAGCAAATAAAAAATTTAATTAGTAAATCGAAAGTTCTATTAGAAAATTGAACGATGGAATCTGCAATTTACCCTAATAATGATTTTCTGCATTTTCACTCCAACAATTAATGTTCTTAGGTTTTCCTGTTAAGCATCTAGTTTCATGAAAACATCGTTTTCATGTACCGCAAGAGCATTCCCCCATTCTATGATATGCAATTAATTCCTCCATTAAAATGAACTTTCCAACACTTCAAGGAATTATTTAATGTATTTGGTTGTTAAATCTTTTTTATTTCTTAATACAGTTTGATTAGGGATGGGAATGAGACTCGAATCCGACAGGTTCTAACTCGACTCGACCCGATCAGGTCAGTTTTTTTTCTTAAAATTCGGGCTCTGGTCGGGTCATGTCAGTTTTTTTAAAGGTGATGTTCGGGTCGGATTCGAGTTTAGGGTGAAAAATAGCCGATCTGATCCCAAAAAAATATAATTTTACCTTATATATTAAAAATAATTACAATAATACCCCTCTATATTTTTTTCAATTAAATCATTGTTTTTATTGAATAAAAATAATATTTTTTATTATTTCGGGTCGGTCGGATTGAATACGGATTTTATATCAAAAAAAATGGCTTGGGTTCAGATCTGATGGAGGGTATATATTTTTTGGGTTTGGTTAGATGAAAGATGTAAAAAATTTTGATCGGGTCAGGTTGGGTTGACCGAAACCCGACCCATGACCATCTTTAAGTTTGATACACATTTTGAGCTAGTTTTCACAATTCTACAAGTAAAATTAAGTCATATTTTTCGGTTATCATTTAATTTTTTTAAGAATTATAAATTCGAATAAATTCAAACATCTAACGTCTTCATGTAAATATAAATAATTAGAGATTTAAAATAATTCAAAAAATAACATTTATATTTGATAAAATTTAAATTTAAGGTCACAAAATTCTTAAAATTTTATCTTTTATCATTAAATTAAAATAGTATTATTGATTTTTATAATTTTTAAATTTTAGAGCGTCATAAAAGAACAAAAACAATAAAAAAAAACTATTTTTAGAAGGCATGATGAATGCATGCGATTTTTTGATAAAAAATATTTAAAAAAAAAAAGCGAAAGGCACGTGTTTTTCGCATGGAAGTTAAAATTTAAAAATAAATAAAAATGAGAAAGGGGGAATGAGGCCCACGCGAGAGTGAAGTTTTGTAATTGTATGATAGCATAAACCAGAATTTAATTTACGTTAAAGATACACCGCAAAGGTGTCTTTCCAAAAGCCCCATTTCACGTGAAGCTACCAAAACCGTTTATCTTTCACTTCCTTTGCTTTGTTCTTTCAGTACCAACAAATCCACCTTAATTAATAATTAAGAGTCCGTTGTTATTTCTAAATTTTTTATTTTAAAAGTTCACGCATATAAAAATAAAAACGTTTATTGTTAAAAGATTAAGTGTCACAACCTGAAATAAATAAATAATAATAAGTAATTTGGTGAAATTTGAGGGTCAAATTAAAAGTTTCCAGAACTTATAGGCTATTTTAGAAGTTGAAGGAAATCTAGAGATCCAACCCTAAATTTTACCATTTTCACCGGCAGGCAATTCTATTAATTGCGTTGAAATTGATTTCTATGGCAAACCAAAAACCAATTTCACAAAAATTCATCCCCGCACCATCGTGTTCATTGTGTCGTTCCGAGTCAATCGATGTCCTTCGCGTCTCTGTCGTTGCCGGCACGTGAGGGAGGTGAGGTAGTTAAAGTTTCTTATGTGTTAAAATAGAGTTCTCCACCGTTCAAAATTGTGAACCGAGCTTGGTATGTATCTCAAAATCCCTTAAAATAATTTTAGAATTTTTTTCTGAAATTTTTAAGGACTCCTAAGCCACCGCACGCGCCGCCCCTACGCGTGGGGAATGTCTTGCGCGTGTGGACAACTTTGAAAAGTCAACCGATTTGACCCGACTTGACCGTCTGACCCGACTTGCCCCGCTAACCTAACCTGACCAGGTCCGACCTGACTCGACCCGTTTACTGTTGATCGTGATCGTTGACCGTCGTTGACCGTTGACCGCCGTTGACCGTTGACCGTTGACCGCCGTTGATCGCCGTTGACTGTTGACTTTGACAAAAAAAGTCAAATTTTTTTAAAAGTAATATTTTATGTTTTTCAACGTCCTAAATCCGATTCCAAAGTTCGTTTTTCCAAATTCGAACCCGAAAGCCTCCAATTGTCAGTCAAACCCGATGATTTTTACTTTGACCAAAAAGTCAAATTTTTTGAAAATCATATTTTATGTTTTTCGACGTCCTAAATCTGATTTTGAAGTATGTTTTGCCAAATTCTGACCCAAAAGCTCTGAAATGAGCTCGTTAACCTAAAAATGCTTAGTGTTTTTAGCATTTTTGCTTATTTATTTTAGATATGGTTATAGAATTGATCCAATAAGATATTTTTATGAAGGTACTTGTGTTTCACCTGAACGAGGGTCAGTTAGGTTCGGTATTTTTCGTTCGTCAGATACGCCCGATCCACGTACTACGAGAATTACCCGTAGGTTTTCGTAAATTATTTAAATAAAGGTTAAGATTATTCATATTAGGATTCCAATATGGATTTTTTCGACTTGTAGGATCTAGCGCTGCAACAGAGCGTGATCGACAGACTCAGTAGCAGGCTTCTCTATCCGATTTCTCATACTGTTACAGGTGTGTTTCCTGATGGTGTTACCTACCCTATATTCTGAATACCATTTATTTGTATCTGATTTACTGAATACTTCTGATATCATTTCTGGTTATAGTATTTTTATACCTGATTTTTGAATATTGCTTATCTGACATCTGATTTACTATATATTACTGATTTGATTTATGATTTTCGTGTTTATGTATATGATTTCCAAGTATGAAATATTTTCATGTTTTAAAGAATTAATCATTGTTTTCACTCGAATACATTCATGTTTATTACTGTCATTGGGGGTATTTTCTAGGAAGTATATCTGCAAGCTCCTCGACTTTGTGCTCATGGCCTTACTGGTTGTGTGGGTTGGGTGTATGGTTCTGGGGAACCTACACAAACAGATTGTGAAAGGATAAGTGTAGTGTTCATGTTTTTAAAATATGTTGTATAAACCGATTTTACTAAAATATTTATTGTATGGAGCACACTAGGCTTTTTAGCTCATTCTGTAAAATTTTCACTTTTCATATAACAGCAGACCGTAAACTAGCAGATTCAACATCAGGGGGGATCAACTACTTTTACTTTTGTACGACCGTATATCTCTATATGTTTTTCAGTTGTATTTGGTGACATGTGTTTTGCTATTGTTTTGGATATATTTGTATTACCGATATTTTATTTCGTAAATATTTTATACGATTTTCTGTGGTATTTTAATATGTATGTGTTTTATATGGTCTTCTAAAATATGTATTCATATATATATTTATCGTATAAATCTTTATTATTGATAAATTTTCATATTATACGGAGATATGTATTTTATCATTGTTTTAAATATAAAAAGAATTTCTGAATGTGATACGTAATCACCTAGACACGACATAACGTTTAGACTGGGTCAAGGGGTTACATTTGGTGGTATCAGAGCTTTCGGTTTTAAAACTCGGACTGTGGATGAGTCCTAAACTCAGGATTTTTAAGAAAATTTGATATTTTCAAAAATGTGTCACCTTATTTTATGAGTTATTTTTTGAGATCCTTGATGCTAGTTTGACTTATGTTCAAATTCTTTCTATAGAGCCTTAGAGATCTATCCGATGAGTGTTGCTAGAGGTCGTAAGCCATGCTGTGGCCGTGGTTGAGGGCGGGTCACTCGACCTTCTGTCATAATAGATAATCCGATGTCACCGCGTGAACCTCATGTTCCGTATGTAGATTCGTCTATTTCTCATGATGATCCGGTTACTCCTGTGAGAGACCCTCTCGTCACTGAAGATGAGGATACTGACATGGGTGAAGACGCTATTAATAGAGCTGTCTTTTGCATGTTTCAAAGAGTTGCTAGAGCCCCTAATAATATTATTGTGGTCGAGATTTCGAAGTCTTTGGTAGCTGTTGGAGTAGTTCCATTTGAGGGTATTACTGGTGGACCTC